ATTTATTTATTTATTTTTAACAAATTTTTTATTATTTTTTCAGAAATAATACAATGTGGTACGAATGTACAGTGGGGGAAATAAGTATTTGAGCCCTTGCTGATTTTGCAGGTTTGCCCACTTACGAAGAATGCTTATTTTTCCTCATCAGATGGTTATCAGTTTTTATAAATTCATATGATGTGATTTTCTGGAATTTTCTTTGGGATTCTGTCTTTCACTGTTAGAATGTACATATGATTAAAGTTATAGATCGTTGCATTATTTGTAAGTGGGCAAACCTGCAAAATCAGCAAGGGGTCAAATACTTATTTCCCCCACTGTATAAAGACTTAAACTTAGACTTAGACTTGTACTTTATTGATCCCTTGGGAAGACTCCCTCAGGAAATTAAGGTTACCAGCAGCTTAAAGGGCAAAAAGTATTAAATCATTAAGTTAAAATTAAATTAAGCAAAAAAATTAAAATAAATAAATAAATAAAAATACAAAAAATACAGATTAAGTACAGTGTATGTAATATCTCTATATCTCACTTCAGTCACTTTATTTTGGTAAACTGTCCACATTAAACACAAGAAACAACAAAAGGAAAAAAAGAAAAAAAAACAATAGACAAACCCACAGTTTACCAAAAAAGGAATAGGCCGAAGCAAAGCTTATTATTGCCTACCCTATTTTTTTTTATCTCTATACATGTGTATTTTTACATTTTTAAACATAAAAAAAACACAACACAAACACAGGGTGATTTCAAGCATTATGGTGTTTATTATGCAAAAAATAAAGGCGGTTATTTGCATGCATATTGATCTATTTTGATTGGATTTCCTTCTCTGATCAGGTCCCACCGTGGGCAGACGCGGCTCATGGAGATGAGATCCCGTATGTGTTCGGACTCCCGATGATCGGACCCACGGAGCTTTTTCCCTGCAACTTTTCCAAAAACGACGTGATGCTGAGCGCCGTGGTCATGACCTACTGGACCAACTTCGCCAAGACGGGGTACGGTCGTATAACAAATGATAATGATCATAATTATAATATTATTATTAATGTTGTAATAACTCTGGGCAGAAACACCAGTTCTGAAAAAATAAACAACATATGCTGTTTTATCAGAATCAGAATCAGAATCAGAAATACTTTAATAATCCCAGAGGGAAATTATTTTTGTTACTGGCTCCATAAATAAAACAACGGCATATACATATACAGGACTGTTTCAGAAAATTAGAATATTGTGATAAAGTTCTTTATTTTCTGTAATGCAATTAAAAATCATGAAATGTCATACATTCTGGATTCATTACAAATCAACTGAAATATCGCAAGCCTTTTATTGTTTTAATATCGCTGATTATGGCTCACAGCTTAAGAAACCCAAATATCCCATCTCAAAATATTAGAATATCGGATTTTTGAGTTTTCTTCAACTGTAAGCCATAATCAGCGATAATAAAACAATAAAAGGCTTGTGATATTTCAAGACTTCAGACTAAAAAAATCCAATATTCTTCCTATTTTTCTTGGATCAGGCTTTAAAGGGATAAAAGTTTTCTTAATAAAAGGGGGTTTTCTCGTTTTTAAACCCTATAATGCCAGATGTGTCATATTTGATACATAGGGTTTCTGAAGTCCTTTGGATCTGAATACATCAAAATACATTTTTGACTTATTGCACGCTAATTTGATCAAAACAATTCCTGTTTTTTTTCTTCATATGTTGTTGAGGGGCCAAAGAAAGACTTCAGACTAAAAAAATCCCCCAATATTCTTCCTGTTTTTCTTGGATCAGGCTTTAAACGGATAAATGTTTTTTCGTTAAAGTTGTTTTTTTCTCGTTTTTTAACCCTATCATGCCTAAAATATTATATTTAATCCGGTTTCTTAAGTCAAAGAAAGACTTCAGACTAAAAAAAATCCAATATTCTTGCTATTTTTCTTGGATCAGGCTTTAAACGGATAAATGTTTTTTTGTTAAAGTTGTTTTTTTCTCGTTTTTTAAACCTATCATGCCAAAAATATTATATTTAATCCGGTTTCTTAAGTCAAAGAAAGACTTCAGACTAAAAAAAATCCAATATTCTTGCTGTTTTTCTTGGATCAGGCTTTAAACGGATAAATGTTTTTTCGTTAAAGTTTTTTTTTTCTCGTTTTTTAAACCTATCATGCCAAAAATATTATATTTAATCCGGTTTCTTAAGTCAAAGAAAGACTTCAGACTAAAAAAATCCCCCAATATTCTTCCTATTTTTCTTGGATCAGGCTTTAAACGGATAAATGTTTTTTTGTTAAAGTTTTTTTTTTCTCGTTTTTTAACCCTATCATGCCAAAAATATTATATTTAATCCGGTTTCTTAAGTCAAAGAAAGACTTCAGACTAAACAAATCCAATATTCTTCCTGTTTTTCTTGGATCGGGCTTTAAAGGGCTAGATATTAGACGTCAAACAGCCATTCAGAGATCCAAAAATAGATCCAAAACCCCGTTCAGAGCCTCTGAGCGCCCCATTGTCTGAAACCCCAGACAAACCTCATCAGAAACCAGCTAAAGCATTCACAGGGGGGCATAAATCTCCCAGGTACCCAGCAGTCCGTGTCCATTTGGGCTTATATGTGTGGATCATTAGGGCTTTTTGTTCCTTCAGAAAAAGCCCACGGCTCCATTATGAATTTAGCAAAAAACTATTAGCTATGTGATCACGAATCGGATGAAACAGGCGAAACAGAAGGAGTAGTAGGAATTTTAATGTGAGCGTTAATTAACGGGGATCTGAATCTGAACGGTATGTAAATGATATCTGAGAAGAATAGAAACTCCACTACTCAGTCCATAAAACCCGGAGGTGTAATTTAGTTCACCTGTAGAGGAAAAGTGGATCAGTGACAGTAAAGCCTACAGTATATATATATATATATATATATATATATATATATATATAT